AGTGGCCGTGAATTGAGGCATGCCTCAATTTGGCATAATAAAGTCTGTAGCTCAATGAGTGTTAGTTTGGTTTCCTTCAGTACCCGTGTTAAATGATATTTGGCACTCTTTACAGCGCTTTCCCAAAGGCCTCCAAAATGGGGCGCCGAAGGTGGGTTGAAGCGCCATGTAAGTCCTTCATCAACTGCACTGCCTTCAATATTTTTGAGATAAGCTGCTAGCTCTCTTTGAGCACTGACGAAATTTGTCCCGTTATCACTCCATATTTCAGCTGGTTTTCCTCTACGAGCCAYGAACCTTCTTAATGTTGCGATGAATGAGTTGCTCGTTAGATCCTCTACTACTTCAATATGTATAGCCTTGGTGACGAAACATATGAAAATTGCTATCCAAGCCTTCATGTTCGCCCTTCCGCGAACACCACTTCTTATTGTTAGTGGTCCGGCAAAATCTACTCCAGTTATGGTAAATGGACGAGAGCACTGTACTCTTTGCTGCGGGAGTGGGGCCATTAAGGGAATTTGAAACCTTGGGTTGGCCTTGGTGCATTGGACACAATGTAGTATTGTTGAACGGGCTACTAATCTACCCTTAAGCGGCCAATACAGATTGCGGATCTCGGAAAGAAGAAGTTGTGGTCCACAGTGGAGCATTTTCTGATGGTAAGATTGGAACATTAACCTAGTGACCTTATGATTGTAAGGGAGCACCACTGGATGTTTTTGTTCAATTTTCAGATTTGAATATTGTAAGCGCCCTCCAACTAAGATTAAACCATCCYTTAAGAATGGATGAAGTGTCTTCAGCGTGCTGTTTCGTGCAATATCTCTTCCGAGCTTCAATTGTTTCAATTCATCGTGGAATGCATCATTTTGCGTTCTTTTTAAWATTATAACTTCAGCCGCCTTGATCTCACTYAGTGTTAGGAATCCTCGTACCTGYGTTGACTTCTTACCTCTGACRTAGCTTGCGAACCGTGACAACCAGGCAACGGCCCGAACAAGTGATCGCCAGTTCGAATATGCATTGATAATGTCTCTCGACTCTTCGATCGCAACTAATACCAGCTTGATTGTACGTTGTTCTGGGAGTTCATTGCACGGTGCTAACTTGGCTGTCGGATGTGACCATTGACTTTCAGGCACACCAAGAAAGGATGGACCATTCCACCACATCACGCTGTCTGCCAGTTCCYGTGCGTCTATTCCGCGAGATATTATGTCTGCTGGGTTATCGTTAGTGTTTATGTATTGCCACTGATGTGCATCTGTTGATTCCAATATTTGCTCCACTCTGTTGGCCACATATGTTTTGAGCCTACTTGA